GACCCATAAACCTACAGCCTTAAGGTTTTGGGTTAAGATGTGGTGTCGGCCCACTTATTGTGATTTATCATTTGGCCCAGTGGTGGATGTATCCTTTGCAAAGAGTTTTGGGCTCCCCCGTTCCATTCCCAACAATACTAAGCATATGTCGAACCTACAAGCAAATAATGTCTCATATTATTAATAAAGAGGCTAAGACCAAGGTATAATCATATTTTATCCCATTATACTTAATTTTAGTACTCAAATACTGGCTCGAGCTTAAGTATATGTGACATCAAAGATCTAGTCCTAGGATATTATCAATAAAGCATAGATCGCATAGATGCTAGTCATCACACCAAATTCCATTAATCAAACCAGACTTAAAGGTCCGTTTGTAGACGCTTATCAAAAAGGTACTTTTTATGCTTTACTTATTTTAGAAGTGTTTTTTACAAAATATAGATCTATTTAGATTTTTTTTTTAAATATTTGAATTTTGAAAAAAATATTTGACTTTTATTTTTTTCAGAAGCTAAAATTTTTGTTTTTGACTTTTTTTTTGTAGCTTCTACTTTTTTTTAAAAGCAGACATCCAAATAAATTTTATAGTAAAAGTGTTTTTCTTTTTTTTATGAAAAAAAGCAATTTTAACTAATTTTTTTTCCATCAAAATAGACCCTTTAATCATGTGTGATTAGACCGAATATCTCGTGGTCGGCAAAAAAATTAAAATATTACTGTTTTAATAAATAATTACGAATACATAGTTGTTTCGAAATTATCTACGAATCTATTGCACTCATTCACGTCCAAATTAAGCGTGACTATTCACGCCCAAATTAGGCATCCACGCCTAATTTAGACGTGAATCATCTGGTGTTGACACGTGACAAAAAAAGTCAACTTACGAACCGTAAAACTTTGAAAAGCCATAACTTTTGACTCGGATATCCGAATGAGGTAATTCTTTTTTTGATTCCACGTAACTTTTCGAGATCTACGTAATGACATCTCATTTGATATATTTTATCTCTCACAAACACAATTCAAATTTGCAATAATTGTATTATATAGTGTATTACCAAAAAAATTAAAAAATTATTATTAATAAGAAAAACAAAATAAAGATTTAATTTGTGATTTAAACTCAAAAATTAATTTGAAAAATTTGTATCAATAAAGAAAATAAATAAATATTCTAAACACTTGGTAGAATATTATATAAAATTGTATATGTTTTAATAATTAATTACGAATAAGTTGCCGTTTTGAACCTAATTACGAATATATTGCACTCACTCATATAACATTAAATTCAAAATTCAAAATTCAAATAACCTCCAATAAGTTGATTGCATTTTGTATTTAATAGGAGTTGATTGTGTTTTGTATTTAATAGGAGCTGATTGCGTTGTAATTTTATGAGTTAGTTACAGATTGTGCCAATTCAAATAAATTTGCTGGATGTTATTTGAATTTTGAATTTAATGTTATAGGAGTTGATTGTGTTTTATATTTAATAAAAAATTTGGTGCCATCTTATTTATAGATGAGTTAATCCATTTTGGTGCCATCTTTATAGTATCTTTGTTGCAAATTTGAATTGTGTTTGTGAGAGATAAAATATATAAAATGAGATGTCATTGCGTAGATCTCAAAAAGTTATGTGGAATCAAAAAAAGAATTACCTCATTCGGATACCCGAGTCAAAAGTTATGGCCTTATAAAATTTTAATGTTAAACTATTAATTTTTTGTGCCACGTGTCAACACCAGACGAGTCACGCCTAGTTTAGACGTGAATGCCTTGGGAGTCACGTCTAATTTGGACGTGAATAGTCACCCCTAATTTGGACGGGAATGAGTGCAATAAATTCGTAAATAGTTTTGAAAAAGTTATATATTCGTAATTATTTATTAAAATAATAATATTTTAATTTTTTTTTGTCTCTCGTGGTCTGATCAAATCCCCTTCCCTAAAATACCGAAACCTTTCACGCTACAAACACAGAGATATTAAGTTGCAGTAACATATTACGTGACTTACTAGCAAGTTAAACTATACGGAAACAACTTGCAGTAACAACAATTCAGTGTAATAATTCCTTCGAGTCCTCCATTAATTTTCTGTTAGAAGTATTTTGCAATTACAAATAGCCGTACACATATATATTGCTCTACACTCTGCAGGTGGATCCCGAATATGTGTTTTCTGAATGAATATTTGTAAGAATTGAAGTAAAAACTCACCACTTTTAGAACAACCGATTTCCCTCGTGCTAATTGATGAATTAACCTATATTTTGATAAAACTAGGCTTGAAATCAAGCTTTTGGTGGAGAGAGACTTGACATTAATTAAGGCATCGATCAACAATGATACTACTTTCACACGTTGGAGATGTTAGAATTCACATAATTTGTGATGTAACTTCTAACCAAACCAAAAAAATAAATTACCCCAGTGAAACAAAACCCAAACAAAATAGAAATACAACAGCAATAACAATCATTTGTCCTATTTCTAAGACAAGTTAAATTTCATTGGAAAAAAAAAAACAAGAAAATTTTATAAGGTGACGTTTGGTTGGGAGCTTTTCAGCGGATATCTATGTTTCTCAAGTATGACTTTTAGAAACACCATGTTTGTTTCAACGTATTTTCACCAAAAACCCATCTATCCAATTTGTATGGATTTATGAGAAACATAGATATCACACTGTTTAGAAACCCAATTTGAAGGTGGAATTTTTTGAAAAAACCGGTTATCTGACTTTTAATGCACTGTTGATTTCATAAAGTTACCTAATTTTTCCAGTAAAATTTTTCTCCACCAAAAACAACTTTTTTTTATATTTTTCTACCTATTTCAATTTATCTATCTTTCTAATCATTTCTCTATCTATTACATTTCCCTAGTATTCCAAAAAAATTTCCTCAACCAAACGCTCCCTAAGAAAAAGTGAGTGAATGATGTCTAATGGGTGCTACGAGATCATTCTAAGGAATTTATTCAAACATGCAAATATGGTAATTAGCTTCACTTGTTCTTGTCGTCTAATGGCAGCGTGCAAACTAGACATTAAGATGGTCCCATGATACCTTCCATCTCCACATTTTCATCACGTAATGATGGCTAAGACTCCACATTAAAACAGATAAGAAGTTCCACCAGATAATTATTTGTTCAATGATCTTTCAATGTCACTATTATATATATGAGGTTTGTTAAATGGACTTTTGAGAAGGTGCAGCTTCGGACATTGGATGGCGGAAACAGCCATAAAGATAGTGGGGGATAAAAGAGCTTAACTACGTGACAAAGCCTAATCAACAACCCATTTTGGACATAGTTCAAGATTAAAAAAGGAAGATAGGATTTTATTTTATTTTTTAGAAAAAGCATTGTCCACTTTCGCTTTTGCTTCATTACGTTAGTCGTTAGGTTTCATATACTAACATTGTGCGAGTTCAATTAAGGCGACGAAATAGTTTGCACTGTAAGAGAGACTAACCTACAGTCCCTTGGGGCATCCCATAAAATTAGAATGAAACATTAGTCTACTATATTCAAACTAATCCTTTATAATTGGAAAGATACGTATAAAAACCTATATGCTATGAAATATGGACTCTTTGAAATATTCGTATTTATATGTATATTTAATTTAAATTTTATCACCTCATTGACCTTTGATATACCTGCTTCGAGCCTTTATGAAATCCCCCTGCATTAACTGTCAAAAAAATTATACGTATATACATACAAAAAATAAACTTAAAAAAAGCGAAACATAAAAGTTATGCACTTGCAAAATAGTTACTTTTATGACTCACATTTGTATAGATGTATAGTTTGCTCCGTTAAGTTTTACAAAAGAATGTTTAAATTGGAATACCAGAACCGAACTTAGAGAGTCAAATGTATCAATATACTTTTAACGTGAATTAAAATTATTTCGTGTAAAGACAAAGTCATCTTCTAGAATTCCAAAACCAAGTTGCTTTAAAGTTTTAAGAGATAATTTTTATCTATTAGTCTGGGAGAAACAATTTTCCCCTTTGATTTAAGGACAATGTTTTTCTCGTGTTACATGAGATAATATTGTCTTATGTAGAGATATAATTAGATAAGTCCTACAATTAAAAAAAAAAAGAAAAAAAATACTATCTCAGATTTTGATGGATATATAACATGAGAAAAGGTTTCTCATATAACACGAAAGAAATATTTCCCTTGATTTAACAGGGAAAAAAGAAAACTGCATTGATACTAATGCACCTCTATTCTAGTACTGTTCTGCAGGTTCCTAATGCAAGACGACCCAACTCTGTTAATCACCTCGTGGGTGGGATGTCTTTTTCATCTTTCATATTTAGTTACTTTATTCTGCTGGAGCTGTGATGATGTAGGTCCAACAACGAAGGATAGCGAGCTCTGTTATGAAACCAAAACTTTGAGGTGGACCCGCGTGAATATTAAAGATAAAACCCAGACATAAGATCACAAAAGAAAATAAAAAGATTTTTTTTAAACCTATATTCTGACATTATCACTGCATAAAAATCTTCAAAAGCTACAGTTGCATCTTAGCGATAGCAAGGTCTTATTGGATAGGAAGGCTGTTGATAATAATAGAAAACAAGGAATTTACAATATCTGATATTAGGAAGAAACTAAGATAAGAAAACAAGAAGCCAGTATGATGGGATGGACGGTATTAAGGTGTGGTGAGGAGAAAAAGACCATTGTATAATGGACATTTAAGTAGGAAAGATAGAAAGGAGAAAATAAAAACGAAAAGAATATAAAATTGGCATTAATTTAATATTTTATGATACAATACAAATTATAAAGCACTAATCTCTATTCACATTAATATTAAACTCTAAATTCTTATTATATATGAAAATAAATCATGAAATATAAAGAAATAAGAAAATTATTTATTAAGAGATCATATAAGATACTCTGAACTATTTTAAGAAATAATTTTCATACACTGCAAGAGGTCCATAACCAGTTAACTAAAAGGAAGATTCCTATCGGAGCTCCAATATGTTTGATTTGAGAGATAGAAATAGAAATGAATAACAGTATATTGTCTAAACCACTATGAAAAAAGTTCATATAAAAATAACCCAAAACCAAGTGTTTCTATTACATCTTGATAGTTGATACAACAGATTGTATGTGTTCGGATGCACAGCATCTGATGAACTACTAACTATATTAGAACACAACTTTAATTCCATATTTCGTGCAACGTAAATCGAAATCACACGGAATTCGTTTTCTAAGGATCATCGTCATAAGGTGGAGCAGAGGTTGCTGATGATGGAAGAATCAAAGTAGGCTCTCCATTATGTACAAATTCAGTGCATAGGGAAGCATGCTCTGGCTTAAAGTCCCATGTATGTCCCGTCAAGTCCAAACGCCGAACATTACCTAAAGCGTGATAACCATAACAGTTAAATCTGAAGGTGACAGGAATCTTTGAAATGTGAAATTAAAATTTTCAATAGCCTGGTTACTCTCTCTCCTTCCCAACTCTTTTCTCTATCTGATCAAGTAACTTGCTAGCATTAAGTATAGAAGCATTTGCAACAGTATGAAGATATATCGCTTCCATTTGTGCAAGTTAGCATCAATGGCATTTTCCTCTTTAATTAGCATTTAATAGTTGTATAATGTGGTATCATATATAAACACAGAACACACCAAGGAATGATGCACACATAATAACGTATATTAAAGAAGATATAAGGTATATGTAATAGCTGTCACAGATTTAAAACATTTATTATTGAAACTTCAAAACATATTTTAGATGGCTAGATTTAATATGGTTCTACAAATACTGTCCTAGAACAACACATATATCAAGTACTTTAACCGAGGTTGAACTAGGAGTATTCTAGATAAAGTTAGTTACTTCTTGTGACTATAATGTGACACTACTAGCATCCAAGTAACCACAGATGGGAGTTTAGTGGGCATGCTTTAGCAACTAATCAATTAAATGATCACAAAGTTACTACCTGCCAGCATCTAAGAGTCAAGAGGTCAATCATAGAAGAGACAATAACAACCTAAATACCTTTTGCAAACTTTAATGCAGAGCAGATGATGGCCAGTGATTCTATTGGCATAAAATTACTTGCAGCATTCACTTCAACTAGTTTTGGAGCCTGTGACAAGAGCTTTGACAAAAACATGGCAGTTTCAATCGAACCACGGTTTTTGCTGTTCAAATAGGAAAACATGTCACATGATTGTATGTGCAAGATTAAACAAAAGCGATAGCAGAATTTTACGTATTAATCATGACCTTAGATTAATTTTCACCAGCTTAAGATCCTCCTTTATTAGTTTCTGAAGCTCTCGAAAACCAGATGAACCCAATCCAACTCCTGCAACATCAAGTACCTCGATAGGTGTACTCAAAAATTTCCCCAAAGATTCAGCTACTTCACTATATAAGAAAAAACAATCAAAATACAAATGGAGAGAGACTTAAGTGATGAAGAGTGAGATTTTATTGTCTACACACATACCTGCCAAGGAGGTTGTCAGCAACAGAAAGAGACTTCAATGGTCCTTTGAAGGTAGAAAGAGCATCTAGAAGATAGTTCACTCCATCACTGGACAGCTCACAATTCTCTAATTTCAAACAAGCCAATTGAGAGCACGTTTCAGATGCTCCAGCAAAATAGGGAATTAAATTCCTGTAAGTTTGATGATAGATAATTAGACACACTAGAAGAATTTCATAACTTCAAAATATACCTAGAACATGGAAATACAATTGACCTGATTCCGTCATCCTCAATGAAATTGTCACTTATATCCAGGTTCTCCAAGTTAGGCATGTGCACAAGAGCATCTCTAAGACTTTCTGCATCATCTTTCCGTAAATTGTTCCCCCTATAAGGCTATGACTAGATTAAAAATCTTTTGTTCACCAAGCACTGACCAAAATGGAAATATAAATGCAACGAGCTTATCAACATTGTCTTAAAGCAGCTCATATTAAGACTAACACATAAAAAGATGGAATCAGGACACTATGCACCAATATCAATATGTACCAACAGCAAAAGGTAATGCTATAGAGAAACCGTCTCATTCATTTTCTGTAAGTATCCGATTATTGATCACAGCCAACAGAAGTCTATTAATGAAGAGTTCTCATATCACACAGATAGTATACAAATATACTTTAGCACAGTGCTACCTCAGGTTAAGTACACGCAAGAGTTGCAAGGACTTTCCAATTCCAAAAGACGAATGTGAACCACTTGAGAATCTCCTTTTAAAGTCAGAAAGCCATCCTGCTATCTTGAAGAGGGTACATGAAACTGTTTGTTAGCTTAGAATAAAGGGCAAATCCCAGTGCACAAGGCTCCCCCAACTTTGTAGATCAAAATACATAATGCATAAAGTGTAGAAGAAAACTCACTTTATTCTCAGAAAGATCAAGGACAGATATGCTAGAGGAAAGATTGAGAAGAATCACAAAAAGATCTCTTGCAAAAGTCCGTCCAAGTTGGTTGTCAGATAATTTTAATGAGCACAGGGACCTAGTAGCAGCATCAGCATGAAAGAAGGTTAACATTTAACAAACAGAAAAGCTATTATCTAGTTATATGTCCAGGTGAAATACAGCAAATAGCATACTAATCATAATAAGTACTCCCCAACTAGTTTAGGATAAAGGTGCTGTTGAGCATACTAATCATAATGCAAACTGTTGCAATGATTAAAATAGTATGATGATATTCTAGTCATGTTAAAAACATAGTAGGGGATTATCTAAAGTATTAGATCTAATGTATTCCAATAAGATGAATGCTCCTCAAGAAGCTAGTCAATTTCTTCATTATCAGTCAAATTGATGTCATAATCATATTATATTGTAATATTATATTTAAGCGGCAGCTATATATAAACATTATCCCCCTCTCCACAATCCATTGCTTGCCAAAAACAACAAAAAAAAAAAACCTGGAGGAACAACTATAAACACAATTCCTTGAGAAATAGCACGTGCATCAGCAGTTGTTTAGTTATATTAAAACCAAACTAAATTTTTGAATCCTGATTACTAGGAGAACATGTCAAACCTTCATAATAAAACCACAGTATGAATAAAGTTGATAACAATCAAACAAAAACAAAAATAAAAAGGTAAACTTATGCTCATGTACCTTCCTGAAGACAAAAATGACACAAGTTCACCAGGTAAAGAAACTTTGCATGGTTCCAGAAAACTTGAGGCTATGATTGATAAGTGTTGGATCCCATATCTTTGTACACTATTTATGACCACAGAACCGAATATTGCCCTCAAAAAATCTGTGGAGACCGTGCAGTGAATAAATTCCAGTGATGTCAATGTTCTACAATGTTGCCTAAGAAGTTTGCATAATCCATCAATCTGTGAAACAGTGCATATGAAACCATCAATAAGGTCATAAAGAGGCATTTTTTTACACTTGGAAACACTACTAATATAATCAATCACATTTGAAAAGTAAAACATATTTTAACACACCAATCTAGAAGGTTCTTCACCAAGGTATAAAATGTCAATCCTCTTTGCTCAAAAGGTACTGAATACTTTGATTTATAAATCATCACAAGGACCAATTGAGAGAAAGAGAAAAGCATATATTGAAGCTTAATATAGGTCCTTCAACTTATTAGTCACCGACTCACCATAGATAGCAAGTATGCATAAAAGGGGCATGGTTTCTCACCTTTACTTCAATCAGTACATATAAAAGCCCAAGTATTCAAGTAACTTGAACGGGGCCTAACCTAACGATACACATGGCCCAAAATGCTTACGCCCAAGATACTAGTAGCATGCTACACAAGCCTTATGTACCTTTAGCATTCACTTCTCCCTCTAATCTGGGTTTTGGGATGTTTTATGTATATCTGATAGGTACCAGAAAAAGAATTAAAATCTGATATTGTATTGATAATTTCAGGAAACATCGCACAATGAAAATTGGAGAATGCAATGTAATAAGGGAAGCAAATACTGGCAATTAGAGAAGCCAGTTTTCTCCCAGTATACCAAAGGTGTCCGTGTCCCAAATCCAAGGTTGTTCAAATCCAGATCTTACCTAAGATCAGAAATAATAAGATCGTAAATTGTGAAATCGACAAAGATTGTAAGATTTTACTTTCTTATTTTCAATAAAAAAATAATAATATTTTTATATATAAAATAACATTTAAATTATAATTTCAAGTATAAAAGACACCAAATATAAAAGATAATTTAAATATAAAAGATAAACTCAAATAATCGTTAAATTCAAAATTTTAATAATAATTTATTTATCTAATAAATCGATTTTTTTCTTAAAATATAGAATTATATTTGAAATGTATATCAACATCAACATCAACAACACCTTTATCCCAAATTAATTGGGGTCGGTGGTAGATGAACCCACATGAAAGATACAAAACGGTTGAAAAAAAAGAAAAAAAGCAATAAATAAATAAATAAATAAATAAATAAAAATAAACAAATAAATAAATATATATTATATATATATATATGTATATATAAATAAATAAAAGTAAAAAAGAAAGGGACAAGAAGAAGTGGGGGAAATGAAGGGGAAAAGGACTAAAAAGAGACCATCTGGAACATAGGAATAACAGCGGGTCTAACCCTCCACCATACTTATAGCTTTTCTCCATTCTGTTCTAAGACATACTGTCCGCCAATCTATATCCCACTCCATTAAATCTTGTTTTACTACTTTCCCCCAAGTAAGCTTCGGCCTACCTCTGCCCCTTTTTTTTTTTTTTTTTTTTTGATAACACCTCTGCCTCTTTTTGTGTTTAGCTCTTGGTAACAAACTTCTGTTCTTACAGGAGCATCCATGGGTCTTCTCATCACGTGCCCAAACCACCTCAATCTATGTTCTCTCATCTTCTCGGCTACCGGTACTACTCCGACCTTTCGTCGAATATCTTCATTTCTTATCTTATCCATCCTTGTGTAACCACACATCCACCTTAACATCCTCATCTCTGCTACTCCCATCTTATGCTCATGTTGCCTATGTGTTGGCCAGCATTCCGCTCCATATAGCATTGCCGGTATTACTGCCGTTTTATAGAATTTTCCTTTTAACTTCAGGGGGATTTTGCGGTCACACAAAAATGCAGATGCACTGCGCCATTTCATCCACCCTGCTCTGATTCTGTGATTTACATCCTCATCAATCTCTCCACCATTTTGTAAAATGGAGCCCAAGTATTTAAAAGCATCTTTTTTGGGTACCTCTTGACCATTTAGATGCACAGGTTCTTGGTCCTCATCTCGTACCAGAGAAAACTCACACTTCAGATACTCAGTCTTGCTTCGCCTTAATGTGAATCCTCTGGATTCCAATGTGCTTCTCCACAATTCAAGTTTTCTATTAACACCCTCCTTGCACTCATCAATAAGCACAATATCGTCTGCAAAAAGCATACACCATGGCACTTCCTCTTGAATATCTTTTGTTAGTTCATCCATAACTAAGGCAAAGAGGTAAGGACTTAGAGTCGACCCTTGGTGTACACCTACCGTGATAGGAAAATAACTTGATGATCCGTTACAAGCTTTTACACATGCAGTAGCCCCATCATACATATCCTTGATTGCCTTTACATACTTTAATGGAACCTTTTTCTTCTCCAGGACCCACCATAAAACTTTCCTTGGAACCCTATCGTATGCTTTCTCAAGGTCTATGAACACCATATGCAAGTCCTTCTTCTTTTCTCGGTATCTTTCCATTAGTTGTCGCATCAAGAAAATGGCTTCCATGGTACATCTTCCTGGCATAAATCCAAATTGATTTACAGAAACCTTGGTATCTCTCCTCAAGCGATGTTCAATAACCCTCTCCCACAACTTCATAGTATGGCTCATTAGCTTAATGCCTCTATAGTTTGAACAATTCTGTATATCTCCCTTGTTTTTGTAGATAGGCACAATCATACTTTTCCTCCATACATCAGGCATCTTATTCGTCTGGAGAATCTTATTAAAAAGATTGGTCAACCATTTTATTGCCACATCCCCCAGGCCTCTCCACACTTCAATAGGGACACCATCAGGCCCCAAGGCTTTATTAGTCTTCATCCTCTTTAAAGCCTCCTTAACTTCATGTGTATTAATTCTGCGTACAAATCTTCTATTCATATCATCATACGCGTCCTCTAAGTCCACCTCGCTTGTATCTCCACCCCCATTAAACAGCTTGTTGAAGTATTTCAACCATCTTTCATTTACATCTTCATCTCTCACCAGAAGTTTTTGATTTTCATCCTTGATGCATCTAACTTGGGTGAGGTCTTTACTTTTCTTATCCCTTATCTTTGCAAGTTTATAAATACCTCTTTCACCATCCTTGCTCCCAAGATTTTTATACAACTCGTCGAAAACCTTGCCTCTAGCTTCTCGCACTGCTTTCTTTGCATTTTTTCTCGCCAATCTAAACTTTTGCAGGTTCTCTTCACTGGGACTTTTATGCAAAGATCTAAAGCACTCCTTCTTATGTTTAATTGCCTCTTGCACCTCTCCATTCCACCACCATGTTTCCTTTGTATGAAATCCATTTCCTTTGCTTTCTCCCAACACCCTCCTTCCCAAATTTTGAATTCACTTAGCCATCTCATTCCATATTGCATTTACTCCTCCATCAAACTCCCAAGGTCCTTCGTGCAACATTCTATCATTGAACTCTCTCTCTTTTCCCTCCTTAAGCTTCCACCACCTTATCCTTGGATTCTGAGCCCTCTTCTTCATTGTACGTACTTTGTTGAACCGAACATCCAAGACTACCAGCTTATGTTGCGTAGCGACACACTCTCCAGGGTAGACCTTACATTCGACACAAGAAGTTCTATCTTCTCTTCTAGCCAGAAAGAAATCAATCTGACTACGATTATGGCCACTATGATAAGTGATTAGGTGTGACTCCCTTTTTTGAAAAAAGGTGTTCACTAACATCAAATCGTAGGCAAGTGCAACATTCAAGATATCTTCTCCAGTCTTGTTTCTCGTCCCATAGCCAAAACCTCCATGGATTCTATCAAAACCTCCATTGCTTTTACCAACATGACCATTTAGATCTCCTCCTACGAAAATCTTCTCCTCTCGAGGTATTCCCCTCAAAACCTCCTTCAAGTCTTCCCAAAATTGGCTTTTATCAGTTGGTTGCAATCCAATTTGGGGTGCATACACACTGAGGATATTCAGGATTAAGTCACCCACAACAAGCTTAACCAGAATAATCATGTCGCCTTTCCTTTTGACGTCCACAACTTTATCTCTGAAACTTTTATCGATCATAATTCCAACACCATTTCGACTCTTGTTCGTACCTGTGTACCATAACTTGAAACCAGTTCCATCCACTTCCTTGGCCTTTTCTCCAGCCCACTTAGTTTCTTGCAAACAAACAATATTCACTTTCCTTCTAGCAAAAACATTTGCCAACTCCCTCAATTTACCCGTTAAGGTTCCTATGTTCCAGCTTCCCAATCTCATCCTTAACCCCTGGGCTGTGCTTGCCCGCCACGCTCGCCCATCTGCGTGTTGGGACCCTGGCATACTTCTCACTTGGCCATTTGAAATGTAATATAAAGTAATATTTAAATGACTACTAAATTTAATTAAAAAAATTAATTTCTAAAGGAAAATTTAACAATCAATAAAAAATAATTCTGATAATTTAAATAAAAGAAAAAAATGAAAGTAGAAATTTATAAATTTGAATAAGTAAAGAAAAATGCAAAGATAAAATTTGAAATGGTGGGTAAGAGGATGTACGGTTACAGTAGACTTTTTCTCGTCATTCTGCAAGATGCTTTCTCTTTCTTTCTCTGTTTTTCTCTTTCAATGGCCAAGTTTGTTAGCAAGTGGTTGTCCTCTTTGTGGATCTAGTCTCTGACGGTCACTGCCGTTCTTCTTCCCTTTCTTTCTCTTAGTACTTGGGTTTTTTTCCCTAGATCGTAGAAACCGTGGGATCGGCCAATCCCACCAATTCTACGCCTTTGCCCGTTGATCCCAATCAATCCATGTGGAAAGCAATCCCATATGCAATTTAGATCGCTTGAAGGAAAAATATCATAGGATTGTACGATCCTACGATATTTCATGCGATTTTAACAATACCCAAATCCACTCACCAAATATGGGATTTACCCATGTAACCATAGTGACCACGATGGCCATGTTTTGCCATGATAGTGGCCACCTGTCGCAATGTGATGGTGCTAAAGTATTGCTATCAAGCGCAACTGACTACTAAGGACTGTATAAGAGAAATAGTGAAGAAGATAGCAAACAGTAACCAGGTTGGAAACAGTTGTAAGTGAACTTTCACTTATTTTATAAACAGCTTGTTTTAGTTCATTTTAGCGCAATTACAGGATGAGCAAAACTCAAAAATTCAATTAATTAAAGATTTGGAACAGATAAGTTATACAAACATACAAGTACAAAATTACAAATACATTATAGAATATAGATTATACATATCTATAGGAGGAAGGAAGCTTACTTGTTCCTTGGATCTGATCCATCTTAGCACCAGACTCTGCAGCTTGCAACTTCTCAACAAATCCTGCAAGTTAGAGCACATGACATCATACCATGTTACATGGTTTTAAAGCATTAAACGAACTGGAATTTAGGAAACCATCATATGATACATGTCTTGAACTGTAAACTATAAATTTAATTTGTGGTAATCAGCTTCTAAGGAACATCAAAATCACCTTCATCCCAATTTAATTAGGGTCAACAGTCCATGAACCCATATAAAAACAAGAACAGAATAAGGAAAAATAAATAATAAATAAGAAAAAATTCAAAAAAGAAATAAATTATGATTGAAGTATTAAAAACGAAATGTTCCAAAATGCTTTGACAATAACAAACAAAACTAGTTGCTTATAGAAAATGACCTTTAGGAGGAACCAACAACTGAAAATTTATCAATCAAAAGATTGCCCAATGAATAAATTATTTAAGTTATAAATCTTTGTTAGAGAAATGTAATATAAAACCATTGATTGGCCTTCACTTAATAGCTTGAGTTATTAGGTGAGATCGTTGTTTATCATGGTATCAGAGCCTCCGTGACCAAGGGGTCACAAGTTCAATTATTAATGCCCCTCACTCAATTAATGAATAATAAATTAAATATTGTGCAGTTTCTTATCATGGGTAGGCGGGGCTTGTGCATTGTCTACCCTTCAAGCTCAATGGGACTCTCGTATAAGAGGATGTGTGAGAGAAATATAATATAAAATCACTGATTAGGCCTTTACTTAACAACTAAAGCTTTTGCGTTGAATTGATTTTTTACAATCTTATAAGGTATGAACTTGTATCAGCCAATGCTTTCCATAAACTTGTTAAAAGCTACAAATGCATTTGACCAGATGAAAATATAATGACTATGGTAGGAACTTCACCCCAAAAGCTAGCTCGTACGGTAGCAGAGCCCAAAGTCCATATAAACCCCACACCAGAACCTTATATTTCTGATGTGGGATTCCAAGTCCCATACCTTGCAACTAGATCGTAACATCCCACCATGCTCTGCAGCCCACGCGGCCTAGCTTTGCGCTAGTCTTTTTACTAGCTTTGGGCGAACACTGCAATGCCAGCGTCACCAGCCGCGCCGCTTGATTGCAACTAGGAGACATAGTGAAAGGTTCTAATTCCAATTGGTACGAACCTTGGGAGAGCCTCATCACCAAAGCTAGCTCGTAAGGTAGGAGAGCCCAAAGTCCATATAAACCCCCGCACTAGAACCTTATATTTCCGATGTGGGACTCCAAGTCCCATACTTTGCAAATAGATCGTAACAGACTACAATTCCAAAAAGATAAATAACAAACAAGCAGTGGAATTGATCAGGGAGTTTTTCATGATATTCTAGGATGCACAACTTACACAAGTTTCTGAAGTATATAGAAAATTTTGCAGTCTCAGACAACTGCAAAAAGACAAAGTGATATAAGAAGCGAAAGAATTGGTCAAGATAAAGTGCAATAACACATTTACCAGCAAAGTTTCAATCATCATGTATTATATTTGTAGACAAATGCAACATTAAACTTTAAAGTAGGGAAACAGTGTTGTGAAAAGCAGTTCATGTGGTTGCCTAGACAGGGCAGAAACAGCCTCCCTGCCTCAGATGGCCTAAGGCGAAGCAAGTTTGATGACGCAGCCCTAGCGTGGCTGTATCATGCATTTTCAGCCAACTTACTTATTTTGTCTCACTTAAAATGTTTAGTAGCCAATGGTATCTAATAATCTAAACAGGTATTTTGGTCTACTAACACAATCTGAACTTAATTTACCAAGCAATCCGAGAAAAAACACCTAAAATTAGAATCTGAATTTATCTGCTATGGGTCAATTACAGTCCAGAAGCTGAACCTACCATTATCCTCTAAATCCATGCTCATCCATAGCCTCATATCTATTTTGGACTGAAGCTACGATTTCCCCCCTTTATCTCCAGTGAGATATAAACCATTCATGAGCATTAACAAACTACTTAAGATTTTAGGAGAGTAGGTTTATGACAGAATATTAAAGCCTTGATGACCAAGTAGTCAGGAGTTTAATTCTTGCAACCCCCATTCTTCAAAATAAAAATTGAATTTCAACACAAGGTAGGGTGGGCTTGTGCATTATCCACATTTTAAGTCCAGAGGGCTCGTGTGAGAAAATGTACTACATAAAAAACCATTCATGAGCCTTCATTTAGCAGATTGTAGAGTTGATCTATGCTATCTCTCTCTATTCCCTAATATTTGCAATTGTGTCATTGTTTGGCCTCTTGACTTGCATTTCATTCGATGTGCACTTACATTGTAATACTTCTAGTCAATTTGGATTACATTATGTTTTCAAAGTATTGTCATGACTTAAGTTGCATTTAAATCTCATCAAAAGTGATGCAGGTTTTGGGGGTGGCTGCCCAAACCTATTTGTTGCCTTGTGATAACTCCGAGGGAAAACCCAGCTAACTAGTCAGCTGAATCTGAAACGGATAATCAAAGCGAGTTCAACTGATTATGTAACACTTGAGCTTCACCAATAGAAAAAAGAAGTATTTATCCAAGAACACAAAAAATGAAATCCATGGTTCTCTTCTTTCTTTATTATTTAAAGGCAATCCTAACTGATTCTTTCTATATAAATTATGACACATAATATCACTTTAACATCTTACCTCACATGGCTGCCAAATTGTAGGCAATGGTAAGACAGTTTTGAATAGTCACAAATTGAATGAATTTCATGTCCCGCAAAACCAATATATTTCAGTATACTGTCTGAAAAGAAAAGGGGTAAAGTGAAAAAATTCAATAAATTATCAACGAAAAACTAAAAGTATAGAAATGGGGGGTGAAGTGGGTTGTGCAACCCGAAAGTAAGATTATTTACGCACAAAGTTCAGGGTAACTTAAATAAACAGATATTATAAATTTAATTGATGCAAAAGCAAACTCTTTGCAACTTAGTTTTTCTCACAAGCTCTATCTCCATTCTCCAGGAGGTGTCAGAGAAAATATTTGAAGCATAAAATGGTGCTTCAATGGTTTTTGCAAAAGGATGACCAAGCAATTCAAGAAACTTTCAATCATCCATACTGCCCCTTCATTCTTTGTCATCAGCCAAAGGCATTCTAGAGACCTAGACTGCCGTCAAGTGTCTAAGTGACAAAGATTATGTTTATACTTAAAGCTGAAAAGTAATACTGATATTTTAATATCACATGTTGCAATCACAGCTCTTCATGAACAAAAAGAACAGCGGCAAAAGTATCATTTAAGGAGCAAAATAAAATTATTCCATAACCACTTTCAAAAGTGAACAGACTTTTGAGTTTGACTAAGCTAGACATAGAAGGCAGCTTCACCTAGAAATTTTCATTAAAGAGATAGCAGATTAACATAGTACCTGAAATCTGTATGTCACCAATATATCCATTAAAAGATGGGATTAGTGCTATCTCTGCTGCTTCATCTAGACAACTGTTATTTCATGTAGATTGTAGAAAAATGTAAATTTTGAGTAAAAAACCAATATTAAGCGATAAACCTAATACAACACTTTATAGTTTATATACTTTTGCAAATGGGTTTCCCAATACGCTTGCTGCCAGTCGGTTGGTTGGATCTGATTAACGAGACAAGGCCACCGTAACTTAAACAACATCTGCCAAGCTGTATTTAGATTAAAATCCCTGTAATAACAAGATTCCCCACAATCAACAAAGATACCACGAGAATGCATTTGCACAAACGGATGAGTATGAAATTCTTGGCAACCTTGAGCGTTTTCTCTTGTTTGTTGATTCATCGCAAGAAAACCCTTCCTCATTCTGGTCCTGGAACGGCCTGTTCCAATAATAACACATACAAAAGATCTAACTAAGGTAAAAAAACCAAAAGAGCATAAAAGAAACAGCCGCGGTTAAGACTTAGGTGCAACACAAAATCTAGAAGACAGCTAGAGCACTTAAAATACAAAACCTTTCACCAATCAATAATGTATCTTCACTTGTTCAGAATTTTGGTAGTTCAGATAAACAATAGTTAGCCAACACATAATTGAAAAAAAGGAAAAAAAAATATTAATAATAATCCAGCTAATACTATACAAGAACTACTCAAAATACTTTAGGTGAGTGAATAAATTATGCATTTAAAGACGAAATTAGGATGATAATGCTGACGATAGTGAGGGTAAGAAATGAACATACAGGTGATGTTGGAATTTGCGCAACGCGATTGGGGGCAAACGCGCGATTAAGGTATCAAGTAAATGGAAAGGAAGGTCGTATATAGCCTGAAGAAGAAGATCATTATCCCCTGCAACCATTCCTGACTCTAGGTTACACTCCAAATACACTACAATTTCAAAATCCTTTATAGAAAAGAAAGAAAGAATAATTGTGTAACGAAATTTACCGAGGAGAAGTTCTTGTGCGAGTGTGTCGATGCACAGAGAAATCAGAGAAGGAGCCTCCGCCATTGCATCAGAACTATTGCTTCTGTTCTGTGTAAAGGAGAAGGGAAAGGAAACATAAAAAATCAACACTCACTGTGCCCGGTCAATGCGGTCAACGCCAAACGCAAACCTTATCGTTTTATGAACCATCGCCACGCAACGAAGCCGTTCCACTTGTTTATGAATTTATTGCCAATTTGTTATTAGCTAAGCTATTTTCTTTGGCCCCACACTGCAGAAACAGTAACTTGTTTATAGAAAATAAAAATAAAATTTATGCTATTACATCTGTTTCAAAATTTATGCGAATTTTTTTAACGCGTATTTGTATTCAATTTTAGTAATAGGGGCATAAAAGAAAATGGATAAAAAATAAGAGATTAAAATAGAATAAAAATTTCCTATTTTAGTAAAATGATGTACTCAATTTGGTACAACTGTAGTATTTAAAAAAATTTCCCATGAAAGATTGAGTCCAATTATGTTGGGCTCGTACAATATACATTCTTTTGTATACGCAACAGCGTGGCAACTGGCAACAAACCAAGAGAAATGAAATAAATACAAAGGCGTCATGTCTGGTGAGTAAGAGAACAAAAATAGAAGATGATGGAAATAAGGTACACATGTGGGTGATCAAATAGATAGAATTATGTGAAAATAAAATCTCATAACTTTTGTATAATATTTTAATGTATTGGAGATGAAATATAAAGCATAATAATATAAATAATTTGTAGGAAAAAATATTTATTATTTTAAAGGACACAATTTTATGTCATTTTAAGTAAAATTATTGTGTTTTGGTATTTTATTTATTTATTTTTTTTCTCCTCAAGAATACTTTTTTTTTCTTGCTGATTTTGTGGATAAGAAAGAAGAATTTTTTTTGCCAAAATACAATAATCACTTAAAATGACATAAAATTATGTCCTTTAAAATTACAAATACATTTTTCATAATATTGTAACCAGAAATAATGTATCCTACATTTTTTTTTGTCATATATCATAGAACAGATTGCATACAGTATATACTGAAATTTTTTCACCCGCCAATCATACACACTAAATAGCAATGCTATTAATATATTGGATTTTGGAGTCCATGACCATGATGGTGGTGAGGTTCATAGGGCTCAAAAGGTCGCTGGTTCCCCTGAATATTGTTATTGGAAGACACTGGTGATATTAAATCACTAAGAGATTTGAATCCATGTATAGAACATAAGAGATTAATAATCAGAATTACAGTGCAACATTAAAATTAGAATAAACTTACAAGTCAGTTAATGAGACAGAATGATAAAAGTATGCAGTATGGTGGATTAAATCCGAGCCCAGAGAATATGTCTTCTTAAGACAATTTGCCCCCTCACTGACGCCAAAGGTTGATGGACAAGTGTCTCCGATGATAGAACAATTTTCGTCTGAGGAGTGGTGGCACTACCAGTCAACAGCCCAAACGAACACAACAATATGCCACAGGAAGGTACACCAGAAAATAGAAAGGAGGATGCAAACTGAATGAAGGAAAAAATCTGGCAGAGTAACAATACAGAAAATTAGATGATTTTGCTGGGGGGGTCAGGGTTTATTTATTGATACTGACCGGTCACGATGAACCGCTGACGATAAACCGCAGACGGCAAATCGCCGTGACTAACAGCCGCGAACGGGCATGACTGGTGATCGATTCGGTGAACAGGTACAGTCGGTGACCGGTTCGCGAAAGTTAAGAACCGGTTCGATTCAAAACGTTCAAAAAATCGACGGATAGAAGCGTGGTTTGAAAAAATTGGAGGGAAGCAACGGATAGTCACAGGGATATTTTGGACAAAAAATTAAAAAATAATTTAATAAAAAAATATTTTTATTTAACACACACTTACGAACATAACCAGACAGCGGCGCACGCGCGTGGTGGACCTAAGCCCACCTATCTCCTCTCACCTCATACTAGTTGTCCAATGTGAGACTTTTTAAACCCACACACCCTGTAACAGCCCATTACGTACCGGAATTATTAACATTGATTAAGATATTAAGCGTAGTTACAATCACAGCAGTTCATTTATAAAAATGCGAGTAAACTTTTTCCTTTTCATTACGCGAGCATTTAAAACAATAATAAAGCGTAATGAATAAAAGTTGTGAGCATAACTAAAAACTAAATGCAGAATAATAATAATATTAATTGTCTAACTATCATATAATACTTCTCTCAAGTCACTAAGGGGTTTCCATAAACTCACTCAGCATAAATCTCACTTTTACGTTTTTTTACCTATTCGAATATGATTCAGTCTTTTAGATACTGCAGAAAATTCGCATGTCGCGAACCTCTCATCTTTTAGTATGTTATTATAGACTTAATTATCTTTCCAACAAGCTATCACACACTCCATAAAGTTCTCGTTTGCTCCGGTTATCACCATTTGAAGTTGGACAAGCAAAGCTGCCAGTGCCAGCAACCTCAAATAGGACACCAAATAGCCCTCACTCTTTCCATAATTTCGGACAAACCACACCACCAATTACTCTCAAATTTTTATACAGTAAACTAGACACATAAAGATTCAATTTTACATATCATGGGCCTAATTTTACAAATAATTGAAACGGGAATAAATTTTCCAAAAACAGGTGCCGACAGCCTCAAGTGCAAGGGATCTCTGGACAGTCCGGGTTCAATGGCCTCTACAGGTCAGCGTACTACTCCTATGGTTCACAAATTTTGACAAAATATAGTTGACATCTCAATCTTCAAAATAGTGTATGGAACGCCTTTATTGGACTTATGTGGAGGGAGATATGCTCCCCAAAGTTCACCCAAAATCTGCCATTTTATAGAAATTTCGGCAGCAACTCCTTTGTTTTTCCAACATATCTCACTTTTGTAAAAGTGTTATCTATCATCAAGGGTACCTAATAGACACGGGTGGCACTCAATGACCAGCAATGCCTTGGTTCTCTTACAACCCATCACAATTTATATCCATTTGCTCACTTTACATTTCATTTCTCAAATTATAAAACTTAAAATATTTCAATCACTTTGATCCATTTGCATACATTCTTTAAACATACGCATAATTCATCAACTAAAATAGGCCTAATGCCCTTTTATCATACATCATCTTCAATAATACACAAGGTCCAATATTACAATTACAAGCCTTAAATGAAACATCATACAAATAAATCTCCAATTACAACATAATGAATCCTCAAAAGAAACATGGTAAATAATCAACTAAACTTAGACAAAATATGGCATAAACAAAGATGACAATATGAATAATCCTAAATCAACATACAATTTTCATGCCCTAAGTCTAGCCTAGGCCTAGTGGCCTCAAAATGCAAAAAGGCATAAGTCTCCACTGCTCATCCTACAGGCCTCTTGCCCACAGCTCCTGCCCCACTGCTACTACCTGAAATAAAGTCCCCAAAACTTGATGAGATATACAAATATATCTCAGTAATCCAGAGGTTCTGGAGATCACTCCGTCTCATGGCTCACTCAGATGCAAATCAATAATATACCACAACATCCAAAAAAAAATAAAGCAAGGGATTTAGTGAAGTAGGGAAGCATAGGGAGTAAACATACGATGAAGCTGAAATGATCAATGCCAAAGCCACGCAACATCCGGCCTATTGGCCTCGGCATATAGCCTACGGGTTCTCATCCAGGAAAATGTTCCCAGAATATCAACCAAGGCACCCTCCATCCATATACACTCGAGACATTCCTAGAGTGCTCCTCAACGGATGACACCCCATGACCCCAGGTCAACTGAAACTCCCGGAGACCTATCCAGTGGAAGTCCGTAACGCCCGAAGGCAACAGTCTACTGGCCAGAGACACAGTACATCCTATGTACCACTATAACACATAAATGCATGAGCATGTTATAATACATTATTAACATCCACCTCCAACCACTACCCCCAAGGGGCGTGGTGGAGCACACACGAGGACTAAATTCCAGTACCAAGGGATTACCTGGTGACAACTTCCTCTCTTGGTAGCTCCAATCCAATACACCACCGAGCTTAGTCCAACAAGAAATGCCTACACATAGGTCATTCTCATTTCAATACAACCACATAATTCATATACATGATTATTCATACATCATTACATAATCACTTACCACAATCCTTTTGGTCAAGGACCAAAGGCAACCCACCAAGCTCAATGCTCCAAGTTTAAGTCTGTGGGAGGCAACCTACAATGATCACACAAGGATCATTAGCACAAGGTGCAACCAACTAAATTACAAAGTACCAAAGTCCACCCCCCACATGTATAGATTCGGCCATATTGCCCAAAATTACCAAACCATTTTCTTAATTTCATTTCAAGGTTCTACTAGCTTCCTAAACTTATCACAACACCGTTTCAAGTCCTTAATTCCATGTCATACCATCATAGCACCATTTCCCCTTAATTTTCCCTAAATGGCCGAAATGCACACACACATCACTTAATAATTTTCCTTCCAATTCAATGCATCAATTCAACATACAACCAATTTAAACACCATTCATAATCACACAACATCAATTACATAATTTTTACATCATCCATCTTTATTTCCCCTCATTGGCCGAATTCACCGTGCATGTGCACCAAAGGATTTTTAATCTATTTCAACACTTATACACATCCTACAATCCTATAATTAACTCATACAAATTCTTCACAACTCAATTACACAATTCTACAATCATACCAATTCACAAAGTATTGAATTTCCACATCAAAATTTGCCTAAGTTACCAATCAAATCCTCAATAACTTTTACGTGTTCAATCACTATGAAACGTCATTCTAAGCCACTTTATTTAATACACAATTTTAATTTGAGCTCTCTAACTACATCAATCCATGCACAATAGCTTTAGGTTTTCAAATTTGGATCTACCAATTCAACCAATTAAAAGTGTTGAAACTTACTTACAAGTAAGGCTTAGGACTCTTCTACATCATACCAAAGCATTGGAGGATCAATCAACTCCAAGAACCTCAAAAACCTTCACTTGACCGCTGACAATGATGTGCTTTTTCTCCCAATTCACTGAGTTTCAA